TCAGCTCTCCAGCTGCAGAAAGGGCCTCCTCTCCACTTAGAGAGAAGCTTTCATTTCAGGGACCACAGCAAGGGAGTATGTTACCGCCATTCGAAAAGGGCCACACTACAACAGCCACTCCCTGTGTGAACAACAGCTACACCAGCAGCAAATCGCACAAGAGCAATGGGAAGGTAGGAAGTGCTAACTGATCCACCTGCCAACTCCTGCTCCATTAGAGCAGTAACTGCATGCGAAGCCGGGCTGAACACAGAGCAAGAGCGTTTGTACCAGGGACAATCCTCTGCAAAGGGCTTCACCTGGAGCCCGAGGTGCCCAAGCTCCTGCAGCTATTACTACCACAGAAAAAGAGCAACAGATCCTCCCAAGATGGGCTGGCCAAGGGGCATGGCAACAGAAAGGAGTTGTGAGGGTACAAGAGGGAGGTGAACAGGGCTCAGATGTTGAAGGGAACCAGGAGCAGAAGCAAGGACTAGTTGATAGCAGAATGGGACATGGCTCTGAAGAGTTATTTGCCTGCTTGGGAACCCAAAATGAAGGAAAACCTTGGATTGGACAACCCTGGGAAAAATCTGCCTTTGGGGATTAACCATCTCCTTCTACAAAGTAAGAGCAGATCCAGACTTGCCTGGGGACACAGATATAGTCTGTTTGGAAACTCTTGCCTAGTCATAATACCTTAACGTGAGCCCAAGGGTCAGGAAGCACTAGACCAATTCCTACTTCTCTCCCTGGAAACACCTCGTGACTCTGCAAGGGCCAAGATGACAGTTTCCATCACACCCAAACAGCAAGGCACAGTCTGCATCAGGCCTGCGCATAGTCATGGGAACATGCAGTAGCAAAGAGATGCTTCAGAGCACCATTACTCATCTCTTGAATCCAGTGACCACCTAACCTTCCAGGGAGGACAATCGATCTTTGTTCTTTTACAATGTTGCCACTGCCATCACTGAATTAAAAATAGCTTAAGCTTTAAGTACATGGACCTTCATTTTACTCCTATTTTGTTTGCTTTCTTGTGTGGGCGATGGAGCACACAAAAGCTTTTGATCTTTTCTTCCTTCCTCAGCCACTGTCCACAGACTGCCTTCTGATACCTTTACAGACCACTGGCTTTCCAGGAATTATAAATTGCAAAACACTGGCAGAGTAAGATAATCACAGCACACGCTAAGGGTTCACCACAGGCAAGTACTCACGCAGGTTCTCATAGGGTGTCCAAGACAATTCTTAAAATACTCCTGATATTTTAGAGGATGATAAAACACAAGCTTTGCCCCTGCAGACCCACTGGCAAGGCAGATCATTTATTTACAGTCAAGTAGTGAATATCCCTATTTCCCACATCCTTCAGGCACAAGACCCTATTATCTCAAGAAATCTACAATCACAGTTCCCCCTCTGCACCCAGTCTTTCAAAACCTTTGCAAGGAACACAGAGAGAAGGCACTCCTCCTCTCCGCAGAGACAGGGCAGCAATATCACACAGCACATGACACCCTCACCTCCCTGTCTGCCCCATGGGGAGCAGTGTCGAGGGCTAATGTGAGCCCTGCTCCTCAAATCCCTGCAGCCTCTGCATGACTTGTCATGCTTTCCCTGGTCAGTAGCTGCCTCAGTTGTTCTTGGAACTTCTCTGAATAACCATTTCCATTTTATCTCCATGAAGGGAGAGGACAGCAAAGGTCTTGCTATAACACAACAGACCCAACCACTGTTGGTCATAGACATTTCAGCCACACAAATGCCTTTTTCCATACCTTGCACTGTATAATAAATTACAAAGTCTTTCCCCACATTTCTCCCTCCACCACTTTCTGGTTATTTTTTTAGCTAATGTAATTAGAGGGGCGCTCTCCTTACATAAGCACTGCAAGAAATTGGCTCAACACCATTGTGACCCACATCTAAAGCAAAGTGGGCAAAGAATGCTTCCTGGGTTCCTACATTAAATTAATCACAGCATTTCAGACCCCTCTTGGCCCCTAGAGTTCAATGCTGTCATGGTAGGAAAGACACAAAAGCTCTCTCAAGGCAAGCTTCCAGTTCATTGCAAACACTCTCACATAAAGATTCTCCAAGACCAAGTGGAAAGAAATGTTGCCTTGGAGGGAGAGAGGCAGCAGCACAATTAGTTGCTCATTTTAAATTACACCATTTAAAAAGAAAAAAAAAAAAAAAAAAAAAAAAAAAAAAAAAAAAAAAAAAAAAAGAAAAAGGAGTCTACAGATACTAGTAGCTGCCTGACGTGGTATCTCTAGGCAGAGGCTGGTATGTGGGGCATACGAATGAGGGCATACGCCAGCAAGTGATTCATGTTTAGCCAAGCACCTTCTAAGCTCCAGTCCTGAAGAAACATAGAGCAGCCCCAGTCAACCACCTGAAGGAGGGACTGCAGAGGCTGGGGATGAGATCGGACATTGAGATGCCCCATTTCCCGGGACAGGCTGGCTGCTCACGGATGTCTGGCACCCCTTTCCTCGTCCCAAGTAACCACACGTAGTGGGAAACCCCAGGAACTTCCCATCCCACAACTGGTTTCCTTAGCCCATGCACTGGGAGCTGCCTGCAGTTCCAACTCTCACCTGCAGCCCAGAGATTCCTGTCTCACCCTAGGCAGCATCCAGCCCAGAAGCAGTAAATGAGCTGGAAATCCTCAATACATTTGTGTCATTTTTCATGCTTCCATCATGCCTGGAAAGGTTGTTTAGCCAGACAACTCCTCCTCGTTAAATAATTAAGCATAGGAAGGAAGAGGGGAGCTCGGCTTTGGGACAATAGGACAAGTATTTGTCCTTAAAAAGCAAAGGTTAACTCTTTGAAAGAATTTTAGTTGCTTTTCCTTTCAACGACACTTTTTTTTTTTTTTTTTTTTTTTTTTTTT